TTTCAGGCTGGCCACACCCCCTTCAGGGTGGGGGTGTCCCCACTGGGGTGCCTGGCCAGCCTGGGTGAAGGGCTGATGGCTGTTTTCAGGCTGGTCAAGCCCTCCGGCGACCCAAGCTCCCAGCCCGTCCTTTTTTTCTTTTTTTTAAGCAGGTATCTGGGATTTATTTATCTTCTATAATTGAAACTTTGTAGCCTTGAGCAGAGCTCAGGGCCGGCCAGGGCAGGCAGGAAGCTTGGCTTCCTCCATCGCCGGGGGCAACCCAAGCCTCCTGCTCGCTCCAGCTCCGTGGCCGTCACCATCTTTGTGACGAAGTCAGGGGAGTGACGGAGTGATGGTTAATTTGCATATTACTCTTTTATTAGATAGGATAATTGGGAATTCCAATTGGATACTAGGAAGTTGAATGCTCATGGTTGAAATATGTAAGCTGAATCTAATTCATGTCCATTGGTTTAAGTGACTTCACAATTTATGGGAAATCATGACTTGGTTCTTTTAATTAAGTGAAGAATTTTGACATGAAAGTATTTCTGAAAAGAAATACATAAAACATTTATGCTGGCACATAAAAGTAGCAAATAACATCTGTCCTGTAATTCTATCAGCATTGTTAAATAAATATTGTATGTAGCATATACCACTTACTTTCATTAAAAGCATACTCAAATCCTTCCAGGGTATCAGGAAAATCAAGAGGTGGTTCATCTTTTTTCATTAGTTCATCCAAATCTATCCTAGACAATAAATCTAGAAAAAAAATGACAATAAATTTACTTATATTCATTTTCATAGTTAACAAATATTATCTTTTAAGTTCTTTTAAGTATTCTTTTGTTCTATTTTATTACTTTTAGATGTTGCCATAACTGACAATACTATTAAATTTTTTAGTTCCCAGAGTGCTATATTATAATGAAGTAAATATCAACATAACCTAAGCACTTTCAAAATTATAATCCTCAAAAGAATCACAAATCACATCCTAAGCACCACTATAGTAAATTATTAACTTCTTCACTTCAAAATACACAGCTATTAATCTGTACTTTATTAATCTCCTTTTACTGTTTTCAAACTTTCAGATATTAATGACTTCTAAAAGGTCACTAAATTTTAAATATAAATTAAACTACTGGTATGGATAAGAAAATTTATAAATCCAAATAGTGGCAATACAGCTTATTATTTAATTTTAGGAGAAAATTACAGTATTTTAAAAAATGGTAACTGAAAAATTGGGTTAACACAAAGCAGTTTTTATTCTTCACATTATTTGATTTGATATGATCAAGAAATTTGCCAGGAAGGTGTTTTTTATAAACATTTTATTTTGGAATCATCTTAGATTTACAGAAAAGCTGAAAGATCATACAGATAGTATACATATACCCTTCGCGCAGTTTTCCCTATCATTAACATCCTACATTACAACAGCACATTTATCAAAACGAAGAAACCAATGTTAGTACATTACTATCAACTAAGCCCAGTTATTATTATTCATCATTTTTCCATATTGTCCATCTGCTATTCCAGGACTCCAGCCAGTATACTACACTACATTTAGTCATCATGTCTCCCCTATCTCCTCTGGTCTGTGACTGTTTTTAGTCTTTGTTTCTTTTCTGTGGTATTGACTGTTTTAAGGAGTACTGATGGAGTATTTTGTAGAATGACCCTGGATTTAAATTTGTCTGTATTATGTTGTGACTAAACTAGGGTTACAAGTTTTTGGAAAGAATGTCACAGAGATAAACTGCCCTTCTCATCATATCACTGAGGTGTAAATCTTCATCAGCTGATTAAGGTAGTGTTTACCAGTCTTCTTCACGATGAAGCCACTGTTTTTCCATTTTTACAGTCTATTCTTGTAAGTGACTAAGTCTAGCCCACTCTCAAAAGGGGAGAGGAGGAATTATGCTCTATCTCCTGGAGTAAAGAACATGTGCAAACATCATCTGTAATTCTTTTGTACGGAAGTTTGTCTTTCTTCATCTATGTACATATTTATTTAATCATTTATTTGATATTTATTGTATACTTTGAGTTATAATTCAATACTGCATCATTTACTTTGTTGCTCAAATTGTTATAGTGTTGGCCACTCATGCTCTTTCTGCTGGCTCTCATATCCCTTTGATGTACATGATTCCATCTTTTTTGTTTTTTGGAGCATTTCCTTACTTTTTGCTACTATAAGATGCTCTAGGCTTATCTTGTGTTTTCCCTCCCCAGCCCTAAATCAGTGTGTCAGCAAGCATTTAATGCAATTTTTTTGGCTCATGTTATGGGATGAGGCAAATTGCTCACTCACTATAAGTAATCATAGAGTCATATCGAAACTCAGAAAAATAAAAAGATAAACTTCAAATTTATTCAGTTCCAGAAAGTTGTGGGGTTTTTTTTTTAAGTTTAAGTTTTGAGATTTTTCATTCTAACTCTAGTTCCTGATGAGAAAAAGTTCCTTGGATACGTAGTAAAGCAAACCAGTCCCTTTTTCTATAAAAGAAGTATCTCAGAAGTAACACTTTATTTCTGTTCTCACAGGGATATAACAAACCCATCTGTATGGCTCATCAAAATATGTTAGAGAGAAAAAAAATTGTCTACCTCAATTCTCTAGTCTCTCTGTAAGACATAAAGGTAAGCCAACAAAAATCTTGCAAAAAGAATCAGTGTTTGGTACTCTTCAAACTGCTATATCAAATAAACCTCAATTTACTCAAAAATATACCATCTTCAACATGCAAACAAAAATAATTTGCAAACTCGCTAATAAAATTGAAATATTACATTATATGCATACCAAGCTGAAATATGCTGACAAATTACTGATTCATTAGTAAAGTTGTGAAAACCATGTAATCTGTACAAAGCTGAGTAAAATGGAACAGTTTTTAATGTCAAAAATTGGCTTGGAGTAGCTACAAAAGTCTCACTTTTCTCCTTCCAATGAGTTGAGATTTGGGGACAAAATCATATTCTTTCTCTTTAGTCATTTCCACAGTACAAAACGCAGAAACCTTTTAAGCAGGCACAAAGAAACCAGTCAATATATAAGCAAACGTATTATGTCTAATAGCCATTTTCTCTATCAGGTTAGAACCTAAAATGACACCTAACATCTCTATATAATTTTAAAGATTTCACTACTTCACCTCAGTTGATCATCACAATCCTATAAAATAGTAGTGCATATTATCTTCACTGTCTTTCAGCTCACAGAAGTAAAATGGCTTGTCCAAAATTATACCTTAACTAGTGACCCAGTGCATAGATTCGTGCACATTGAAAGGAAATTAATTAGAAGGTTGCCAGCAGAATGGGACTGGGCAAGATGGGCCAGACACGCCCTGGAGCCAACCTCTCCCATGGTCCCTCCCCGGTATCTGCAGCATGAGCGGGGTCCCTCCAGCAGGTGGGGGTCCCTTAGCCTGCCCTGCGGGGATTAGGCCAAAACTGGCTTTCCGGCATCCCCCAAGGGGTCCCGGAGTGTGAGAGGGCACTCTGCAAAATTGCTGTTGTACAGGATGTGGAACACAAATACAAGTGTGCAGTAAACCAGATTCGGGGCCAACAGTGCCCCAGCAACAACATAACCCACGGCCGAAGGTGGAAAAGGTGGAATCGCACGGCCCGGCGAAGAATCGGGCTCGCTCCTCTCTGGTTTTGGGGTGTATCACCGGAGAACTGCCACTGCCAAGTCACTGCAGCTTGGCAGCTCCTGTGTTGAGCAACTGCTCCCTGGTGGTCAGTGCGCATCATAGTGACCGGTCAGACAGTCGGACACTTAGCATTTTAGCCTTTGATTGATTGATTGATAGATAGATAGATGAAAGAAAGAAGGAAGGAAGGAAGGAAGGAAGGAAGGAAGGAAGGAAGGAAGGAAGGAAGGAAGGAAGGAAGGAAGGCAGGAAGGAAGGAAGGAAGGAAGGAAGGAAAGTGGGCTTAGTAAAATAAATGTATTTCCCAATACCTAACTTATTGCTCTTTCAAAATCACCATTTATTCTATGTGCCATATCAACTCTAAAATATTCTTCCCCTCTCTTCATTGCCTTATAAAGATAAATATAGTTATAAATATAGAAATATGCTTTTACTTTGCTCAAAATGTTCCTCTGAATGATAAAATGAACAACTAAATAAATAGGCATTCCTCAAACTTCTCTGTCCACAAGAGAAGCAAATACACTTTTTATTTCATTAACACTGAGGAAACACAAAGGTGAAGTCTTCCAGATGCTATCATGATAGATCTCAGAGGCCTGTGGGCCTCTATTGGGTTTACCCTAAAAGAACAGGGTAGTCCTCATAGCGGCATTCCTGAACACAGACTACTCTTCATACAACCAAAGCAGTGTTGGAAAGCATCAAATGATGAATTCTGATTTGAATTGAATTCATCTGGAAAGGAATTGTCAGACTATTTTTCTGCTTTGTAAAAAGAAACCAATACTGTATAGTTGTATTTTACACAGAGAGACTAACTCCACAGAATTAGGTAAAATTCAAGCATAATAAAACATTTACATTGAAAATCTCTTCAATCACCTATAAAATACAGTACAAGTAAACCCATATAACCTAAGCATGCATCAGATGTGACACAACTTTTTTTTTGTTTTCTAAAACATGTCTCTGGTGATTAAAATGATTCAGCAACTAGAATTCTAAGCTTCAACTAAGCATATGCAATAACTGGATAAAAATACCATTTGATACCCAAAAGACTTGAAAACAGACACTCAAACAAATGTTTGTACATTATGTTCATAGAAGCATTATTCACAATAGCCAAAAGGTGGGAACAACCCCAGCTAAATGGTGTGGTGATTAATTTTATGTGTCAACTTGACTGGGTCATGGGGTGTCCACATATTTGATTAAATATAATTCTGAGTATGTTTGTGAAGGTGGTTCTGAATAAGATTAACATTTGAATCTATAGATTGAGTAAAGCAAATTGCCTCCCTCCTATTTGGATGAACATGATCTGATCCATTGAAGGTCTGAATAGAACAAAAACTTATACAAACAGAAATCCAGGGAACATGTGTGGGAATGAATATTAAGGGTGTTGGATAATGGTGAAAGGAATAATCAGGTCATATTTATATATAAAGGCTTACCAAGCACAGATTCTGTATTTAATGCTGCAGCTTGAGGAGTTAGGAAGGGCTCTAACAGTTTGATTGGTTGGTTTAAACATGAGCCAAAAATTGGCCAACAGTGAGTGGGTTTGCTATGGTTTAATGTAGAGGAAGCAATTCAAAGGTTTAGGGAGATAGGAATATTAAAGTGGATTTATCATTGAAGATCTACTCACCCTGGAAAGGTCCAGAAGACATACCTTAAACCAGTACTATGAGAAATAAATCTGTGAGAACCCTGGCATCCTTAAAAAGCTATGTGATGACTTCTTTTATGCTAAACCTTACAGTGGGAACTAAAGTCACTGAATTAAGAAACATAAATGCAATGGGAGTAATTGGTTCCTAGGGTGGCAGCAGCCAAGTGGGATCACTCTACCACCAGAGGCAAGTTGGGCTTGGTTACCGTAATGGACAGCGGAGTCAGAGCAGCAATCAGAATAATCTGACTCACACAGACCTATGGCATTGGCTAGTTGAGCATGTTGTTCCTAGAAATAAGACAGGAAGCCTACTAAATTCTTACTTGATACGTATAAGCAGAAAAGTTCTAGGTCAAATGAACAAAAGCCTAACCTAAATCAAAAACAGTCATAATCAGTTCCCAGACTTAAGCCAGTGTACAGACCCAGAACCTCTTGGGAGGAGGCCCTCTTAAAAAGAATGACCTTAAGGAATGACCCAGGTACACTGTCAAAAATTGCACTGCTAAGCTTTCTCCCATCCTCCCCCAAAGGGAACAATGGCCTTTTACCAGGGTAACTGCACTGGGAAAAAGAAATAACCAGACCTTTCAGAGACTTACGGACACTGGCTCTGAAATGAAGCTGATTCCAGGAAACCCAAAAGGTCACTGTGATTCTTCATTAGAGTAGGGGTTGATGGAAGACAGGTGTTTAATGGAGTTTTAGCTCAGATTCATCTCACAGTGGATTCCTAAACTCACTGTGATTATTTCCCCAGTTCCAGAATCATTATTTGACAGAATCCCCACATTGGTTCCCTGATCTGTAGAATTAAGGCTATTGCAGGGAAGGCCAAGTGAAAGCCCTTAAACTGTCTTTACCTAGGAAAACTAAACCAAAAGAAGTATGACTTTCCAGGTTTCAGAGATTAATGTCACCATCAAGGACTTGAAGAATGCAAGGGTGATGATTCCTACCACATCCCCATTCAATTCACCTATCTGGACTGTCCAGAAGACAGATGGAACTTGGAGAATGACAGTGAATTATCGTTAAGCTTAAACAGATGGTAACTTCAAATGTAGCTTCTATACTAGATGTAATTTCATTGCTTGAGCAAATTAATACATCTCTGGGAACTGGTATGCAACTACTGATCTGGCAAATGCCTTTTTTTCCATCTCTGTCAATAACACCCACTAGAAACCGTTTGCTTTCAGTTGGCAAGGCCAACAACATACCTTTGCTATCCTACCTCAGGGATATATTGACTCTCCAGTTGTAAGTCATAATTTAGTTTGCTTGATCTTGATCACCTTTCCCTTCAATATGATTATCACTCTGGTCCAATACATTAATGCCATTATACTGATTGGACCTAGTAAGCAAGAAGTAACAATCTAGAGTTACTGACAAGACATTTGTGTGTCAGAGGGTGAGAAATAAATCTGACAAAAATTCAGGGGCTTTCTATTCCAGTCTAATTTCTAGGGGTCCAATGATGTGGGTGATGATGTGAGTCATGTCAACATATCTCTGCTAAAGTGAAGGATAAGTTGTTGCAACTGGCCTTTCCTACAAATAAAAAAGAGGCACAATGCCTAACAGGTATCTTTGGACGTTGGAGGCAACATAGTCCTCATTGGCTGTGTTACCCTGGTCCATTTAGCCAAAATGCTGCTACTTTTGAGTGGTGCCCAGAATAAGAGAAAGCTCTGCAACTGTGTACGCTGCTCTGCTACCATATAAGCCAGCAGATCCAATGGTGTCAGTGGCTGATGAGGAATCTTTGGCAGAAGCCTCTTGAAGAATCAAAGCATAGCCTTTAAGGATTTGGGGGCAAAGTCGTGACATCCACTGTAGATAACTATTCTCCTTTTAAGAAACAGCTGGTAGTCTGCTACTGGGCCTTTGTAGAGACTGCTTAATCATGGGCTAAGTGAACAAATGCCTATGGTCACCAACTCCTACTGCACTGCCTTTTATCTATCAGCATGAATTCCTCGTGGAAAGTTTCTACCATCAACTGGCTTCCTACCCAAACTCAGGTCTGGTTTATAGGTAGTTCCGTAGGATATTCAAGCACCACTCAAAAGTGGACAGCTGAAACACTAGAGCCCCTTTCTAAGGCATCCCTGAAGGACAGTGATGAAGGGAAATCCTCCCAATGAGCAGAACTGAGAGCTGTGCACCTGGCTTTTAGTTTGCTTGGAAAAAGATATGGCCAGACATGTGATTATATATTGATTCATATTCTGTGGCCAATGGTTTGGCTGGATGGTCAGGGAACTTGGAATGAACATGATTGGAAAATTGGTGACAAGGAAATATGGAGAAGAGGTATGTGAACAGACATCTCTGAATGGGCAACAAATTTAAAGATATTTCTTTCCAAAGTGAATGTTCAATAAAATATTTTAAAAATTAACTGGCTAGAGTGATCTATTCTGTAGACACTAGTCATTCTATTTCCCCAGCCACCCATTATAGCCAGTATTCATAGGTCTAGAAATTAAGGGTGAACAATGGGAGTGGCACCACTCACTATTACCACTAGTCTATGAAAAAAAAATGTCCACTCTGAACATTCTTACTCAAAATAGTAGTGGAAGTCCTAGCCAGCACAAAAAAGCAAAAAACAAAATAAAAGACATATAGATTGGCAAGAAAGAAATAAAACTGTCCAAATTGTAAATGACAAAGAAAAGCCCAAGGAATCTACCAAAACAACTCATAGAACTAAGTGACATCAGCAAAGTCATAGGATATAATATCAACACACAAAACTTAATTATATTTCCATAAACTATCAGTAAACATGTGGCAACTGAAATTAAAAACGCAACACAATTTATAATCATTCTAAAGAATTAAAACTTAAGTATCCTATATAATAAAGAGGTGATATGCAAATTAACCCTCACACCCTCACAAGATGGCTGCCTATATATACTGCTTGTGTAAGTATAAATTGCATTACATTACAATGTAAGGTTGAAGATGCTCAAAATCTATCTATGTGGAAACCCAGGAAATCTATTTTTCTGAGTGTACTGGTCATTCCCGAAGCATACAAGCATGCAGTCAAACCTTCCAGAGGGTTGACTACAGCTGTCTCCAATTCCTCTCTTCCAATTCTCTACACAGATTCTCTAATATGCTTTCATTTTCAACAATTCACTGAAACAGCTTTTTGTGAAGATTACCAATGATGTCCACACTGTCAAATCCAAAAGTATACTAGTATTCTCAGTCCTCACCTAGCCTGACTCATCATCATGACTAAATTAATGATTCCCATAATCTTCATTTAAGGTTCAGGACCTCTCTCTTGCTCCTGGTTCTCAGCCTATCAGAGATTCATTTTCAGCCTCTTTAGCGGGTTCCTCCTTATCTCTCTGACCCTAAGGTTGAGATGCCCCAGGACTGAATCTTCAGATGTGTTCTCTTTTCTGGCTACACTGACATTCTTGGTGATGTCAATCATGATCATAACTTTAAATATTATCTCTACATTAATGATTCCCAAAACTATTATTCTAAACCACATGCTCTCTCATACTCCACACTCAACTTCTCCACCTTCATGTTTAAGGGGCATCTTAGTTTAATATATATGAAAGCTAACTCTTATTTCCCATTACAACCACTTTCACTGCAACCACCTTTTTCCAATTTTCTTAATATAATTAATAGCACCTATCTTAAAGCTTTTTAGGCCAAGAGGCTTCAAAGTTATCTTTGTTTTTTTACATCTCATGTCTAATCCAACAACAAATTCTGTCATGTCATCTCTTCCTTCAAAACATAACCAGAATCTGTCCATTCTTTATTATCCTAATCAAAGACTTCACAATTGTGAGGAGAAAGCAATGGAAAGCCATTTGCCATTTTTGTAGATAAGAGCTAGTTACACCATCCCTTTGATAGATCATTTGCATTAAAAGCAGGGACAGGTGAGTCAACTGGTTGCTTTATCTTATGTATGCTTTAGGATTTCATGAAAAGAGATAAAAGAAGGCAGTAAGAAAGGTTCTTGAGGTATCTTTATCATCCAGACCAGCATTGCAGGGTAGGACAGCAGCTAGATATTCAGAGAAGTGGCCAAAGCCAAGAAAGTCTGGTACATATTCAGCGGGGGCATCTCCTACATAGCATCTTGAAGACCAGATAGACTCCATGCTGAATCAAGTAAAAGAGACTTTTATCAGCTGGCATAGTTGGCATCTCAACATTTAGAAAACCCAAGATATATTTTTTCTACTACCAAACAAAGTAACTGTGAAACCTTGCACAAGTTACTCAGATAATCTGATCCTGGGCAAGTCACTAGACAGTGAGACTGAAATATATGAAGAAAACTTACAGGCCCATAATGAATACTTCTTTTAGAGGTAAAATTATTTTAGATAGGTTTATTTTTTTTAAGTCTAGAACTCAAAAATCCCAAAAAATGTCTAAGGCAGATTCCTTCTGAGGTGTTAACACGAAGGGCCTCTCATAATATATCCCTAGTGCCAATGCCACAAAGATAAAATGCAGAATTAGGCAGATCACTATCCTAAATTAGTAGGACATCGAGAACAACAAAAATATGATAAGGGCACTACCTGTAGTGTTAGTTTTTACCATAAATTTATATGGCCTTGAATAAGAAAAGCATTAAGAATTCTGGCTGTAAAATTACATGATTCTATGATTTATTTGCTGAGTACAGACTATATCTCAGACACTGAGATAGTTGCTGTAGGGACACAAATAATTACAAATAGATTAAGTACTGTTTTTATTTTAGAATTGAAATAAACAGCAGGTCACCTAAATATTCCTATACCTTCATCAGGCACAATGAAAATATCCTAAAAAAGCAATTTAAGTATGTACCTTTCAGTGCTGTAGTCTTTTCTTTTTCATCTGGACCTCCCTGCTGGATTTGTGCCATGCTTATCCAAAATGGGCACAAAATTAAAGAGCTCAAGGAAATAGACATCAATCTTCAGAAGACAGTCTAGAATGAATGAAAGCAATAAATTAAGCTCTACTCAATCCTGCCTACTCCATGAGAACTTCCTTGATCCTCCCAGTCAAGATTAATCTATCCTAATTTTCCACAGTACTTTGTTGATGTCTATACTACAGTACTCATCAAAGGCTGCCTTGCACTGTAGTTATTTATATATTTGTCTAGGTCAGCTAAAAGATTACAAGCACCAAGACAGAGGTATCAAGTTTTTTCATCATTATATCTATGATGTCACAAAACATAATACCTGATAGTACATACAGATACCTAATGTTGCTGAATTGAACTTAGCTAAACTTACTATTTAGTTTTAGTTCTTTATCATCTAATTTAAAAATATCTCCAAGTAGTTTCAAAAACTGTAACTCTTTTAAGATAAATTGTAAACATATGCTATCTATAAGGTTAGAATGTCTTCTCCTGGAACATGCAGACAGTCAGAAGGAGAAAAATATATAAATACAAAAAGTAGTTATAATTTCAATCTAATGTAATTAAAAAACAACTCTAAAGGAAAAAAAATAGCCCTTTTAAAAATGAAACTATGGCCGAACCGGTTTGGCTCAGTGGATAGAGCATCGGCCTGCGGACTCAAGGGTCCCAGGTTCGATTCCGGTCAAGGGCATGTACCTTGGTTGCGGGCACATCCCCACTGGGGGGCGTGCAGGAGGCAGCTGGTCGATCTCTCTCATCGATGTTTCTCTCTATCCCTCTCCCTTCTTCTCTGTAAAAAAAAAAATCAATAAAATATATTTAAAAAAAAATGAAACTATGGAAACAACTAAAGTGTCCTGCGATAGAGGACTGGATAAAGAAGATGTGGTACATATATACATTGGAGTACTACTCAACCATAAGAAAAGACGAAATACTGCCATTTGCAACAACATGAATGGACCTTGAAAATATTAGGCTAAGCCAGTGGTCGGCAAACCGTGGCTCGCGAGCCACATGCGTCTCTTTGGCCCCTTGAGTGTGGCTCTTCCACAAAATACCACAAAATACCACGAGCAGGCGTGCACATACAGTGCGATTGAAACTTCGTGGCCCATGCGCAGAAGTCGGTATTTTGTGGAAGAGCCACACTCAAGGGGCTAAAGAGCCACATGTGGCTCGCGAGCCACAGTTTGCCGAGCCACAATTTGCCAACCACTGGCTAAGCAAAATAAGTCAGTCAGAAAAGGTTAAGTACCATATGATTTCACTCATATGTGGGATATAAAACTGAAACTCATAGACGGACAATAGAATGGTGGTTACCAGAAGGAAGGAGGGTAAGAGGGTAGGTAGGAAAGAGAAAAGGAGACCAAATATATGGTGATGGAAGATGATTTGACTTTGGGTGGTGGGCACACAATGGAATATACAGATTATGTGTCATAGAAATCAACACTTGAAAACTATATTATCTTATTAAGCAATAAATTTGGTTAATCTTGTTACCCCAATAAATTTAATTTTTTAAAAATGAAACTGTTACATTCAATGTCTGGAAACCATAATCTACAAATGGCAGCCCAGTGAACAATAATAATATAAAATTATGATTTATCAAAGTCTAATTCTGCACTTAAACTATAAATAGATGGCTTTTCCATGAAGAGTATAAAACAACAACGCACTATTCCTAAATTAAAAGAAAAAACTGCAACACATACAATGGAAAAATTAAACTAATTTAGTCATTCCATAACTGTTAAAGAAATCATATAAAAACTACATTCACGACAATAAGACTGAATATTCCTCTGGTTGAGGAACCCAATTGATTTGCTACCACTAAGCAAACCCCCATTTCTGTTCAAAGGTACATTTTATAATTACCTTTAAAAACTGAGTCATTTTCATAGTCAGCAGAGTGTAGCAATAACTAGAATGAATGTAAGACTATTTTTGACTGAGAACGTTTTTTTACTTAATATGGAAGTATTTTTCTGCTGTGAATACTTAACTTAAAATTCTGTAAGTTCTACATGAATAAAATGTGTCTATATTTTCTTAAGGAACATATCTTAGTCTATACAATGGGCAATTTACAAGATATGAGGTTGCAAATGGTTAATCAAATAAGACATGGCCATGGCCTAAGTGGGGACTTACTCTCTAGCTGCCAAATCAAACTGCCAAATAACCACAAGTAAAATATTTAAGACTTAGACTTATAGTTAAACATTATTATAAAAAAGCAATATTGTAAGGGCTATTTATATCCGAGAGTTAGTCTTATCAGTTAAAACTTCCACAAGTCTGTGTACATTTCACCAGTGACTCCTTATTATACAAATTAAAGAGAAATGTTCATAATGAGAGATTCTACATAGTGCTCTTTGCTAGCATTTCCATAACTAAATTAACTATCTACAAAGGACTTCTTGCATTTTTACTCTATCACTCTGCTAATTCAGTATTTCTTCTAAATATAAACTGTTCAGTTATTTTTCATTAGCCTCAACATGCCTGATTTCTAAACAGAACAAGTTATACAATTATTTCATTGTGACCATTTAAACAAAAGTGAAATTATAAAATATTTTTGGTGCTAGGTCCTTTTCAAGATTCACATTTTAGAGTTCTGGGGAGCTATGGACATCATGGTGACTATAGTTAACAATACTGTATTATATACTTGAAAGAGAGTAGATCTTAGAAGTTTTCACCACACACAAAGGTAACTATGTTAGGTGAGGGATGTGTTAATTAACCTTATTGTGCTAATCATTTTGCAAATATAGTGCCATGAAATCAGCATATTGTGAACCTTAAACTTACACAATGCCATATGTCGATTATATCTCAATACGGCTTTTTTAAAGCTCTAAATACTCCGCAATGTTGACTAACACACTCCCCCTGTAGACTTTGATCTCCATGAAGTCAGGTCCCTAGCACAATGTCTGTCCCTAGCACAATGTCTGGCATATTTGGAGCTCAATGGATATTTGTAAAAGATAGAGGAGGGGAAAGAGTCACATTTTAAAGAATCATTTTCAAGATTCCCAAGATTAAACATCAACTAACAATTATATTCTTATTCAATAGGAGAATAACTAAAAATACATGCCACAACTCATTGAAGTGATGATACATAAATTAGGAGACTAATTACTACTTGAGACCCAAAACCTTATAGCAGCAGATGCAAAGCAGCTAAGTATGAAGCAAAAGCCACTTGTCTGTTGATCTCTCTCTCTCTCTGTTTTTGATATTTGCTCTCCTTTATTTGTTAGTTAAAAAATCTCATTTTTTACTGGACTAAGATTTAGAGGTAGAAACTCTCAGAGAAGACAGTCTATGTCTCTGCAATCTGTTCCTGGCATTTTTCTTTGGCCTCCTTCATTCTCTTAGCCAAAAGTTTAGCATATTCTGCCGTCTCTTCCTTGTTTTTCTTAGTACGTTGTTTCTTCAGAGCAATACACCTGTATTTGTGTTGCAGAACACATGGAGTAACAAGACTCTGAATCTTAGGTGCTTTAATCCTAAATTTCTTGAGGCTTTCTCACAACATATTTGTGGACATCATCTTCTTTAGAGAGATTGAAAAGTTTGCGGATTCTGCTGGCTCTTTTGGGCCCCAGGCGACGAGGCACAGTGAGACCAGGAATATCTTTCTCCCCTTTTTTTACAATGACCAAGTTGTGAACACTGAGATTGGCATCCACAATGCAACCCTGAACAGATTTGCGTCTTCTCTCTCCAGTTCTGCTTGGTCTGTAACAGGAGTGCCCCTTACTCAGCAGCAGGTATACTCGGCCATGAGTCAAGACACCCTACTTCATGGGGAAATCTCGTTTGTCGTTCCCACCACTGATATGAACCACATAACCCTTTCAATTCTTCACCCAGAGAATCAGCTGCAACTTCTGTGGCCATACGCTTCACATAAAAGGTACCAAGTTTGCGTTCATTGCCCACTTCAATGAGTTTCTGGCAGCCAGTGGCTGGGAAAGAGATGTTGGGCTTCACCCTGAAGCAGCCAACAGCCTCCGAAGCACCACGAAAAAGAAGAGCTCTGTTGCTTTCTTATTTAATGTTATATTTTTACCCTCTCCAGTTATTATCCATGGCTGTGGCACAGCTGGTGAAATTAAATCAGGGACATTTAAAATCCTCAATTTCGTTTTCCTAATAAAAATTCAGAGCTATAACCTGCATGACGACAGATAAACACTACTGAAAATGCAGCCTGGAAGCTGTTTGATACATTTGATATGTATTAATATGTGCACTCGACATAGTTTATTTAGTATTATCTGATGGAGGTTAGGTTATAGGGAATAAAGTGGTGGAAGGTTTTTACTGATATGAATTGGGACACAGCTGACATGTTGTATACTTCATGATAACCACTGCTGTTTAAATATGGTCTCCTAGAAATGTTACAGTATAAACTAGATTCAAAACACCTCAGTTTGGGATTTCATTCTGTGAACTACACAAAGCAATTATCATATCTTCTTCCCTTCTATGATTCCAACAGAGAATCCGAGTACATATAAATAAAGCTATAAGTAACTTGTCATGTGTAATCTTTATCTAGTCAATATTTCAAAACATGAAACAGTAGATTATTTCTTATTGCCCTGTTTGCTCAAAATATGGCCTGAGCACTTATAAAATGTACAGAAAGATACACAGAAGCCTTAGTTTTAGGTCTGTTTGCTTTTATGCAAATATAAATGGAACTAGATATAGATAATTTTTGCAAGAGAAGGCCTTTCCACCTCACATTGTAAAAGCAATGATGAATGTGCAAAATATATCACAAGAGAAGTAAAACTGGGTTAATTTCTGGAACTCCTGGAGTTGGTTTGGTCCCAAAGAGTCTTTGTTCACTAAGTCAGACTCTGGAAGTCCAGTTCACAATAGCCTACTTGCAATTAAAAGTACAATATGTGAATCGGTACTGGATTGTGAGGAACCAAAAGACTCATCCAAATATCCAGGTTACTCAAAAGCTTCTCATCAGCAAAGGTTAGCTCAGAATG